ATCCGAAGACCTCTTCAGATACGGAACAGCAAGGAAGAGAAGGAATAGATAAACCCATCCATGTGTGCCCAATGAGGGCTGTTCACCCAGAGGACATACCATTTACAACCTTTCTAGAAGGCAGCTTGATACAGTGAGTCAAGAGCCTTAGGTTTACATGTGACCACTTCACCTCTAAGAGTTGTGCTAAGGAGAGGAGCAGGCGTGTGTACATCAGGATGCATACAGTGAGCTGCTCCCATCTTGTGTAACATAGAGGGAAACTGTCAACATGCAAATAGTGTCAGCTCTGATACGGTTTGGATAATGTACCCCAAACGTGCACATTCTGGAATTGGTTTAGTGGATGGTGATTGGATGTCCCCTAAAAGTTCATGTGTTGGAATGTTGATTGTCTTGAAAAGATGTTTGGTGAAAATTTAATCCCTTCATGGAGTCTGAGTGTGGGTCCTTGGGTGTGATAAAGTCATTAGGTGGGAACACTTATGACTGAGTTGTGGAGGGTATATATGGAAAGGAAACGAGGCAGGCAGAGCCACACAGATATAGCCACCACGAGAACAATCTTACGGATAACTCTGCCATTTTGTAGTCTCACCAGAAGTTGGACCCTGAACCTGGGGCATCCAAACCTTGAGTTGAATAGATCTCTATTTCTTTATAAATTCACCCAGTCAGTCTCAGACATTTCTGTTAGCAATTCTATAATGAACTAAATCAAGCTCCATTGTGCTCAAAGTTGTATTTTTGGCATTTGGGATGCACAAATTCTCTTTTGTGCAGGATCGACCGGAACTTTTTGGATGTATAACATCTCACTTATATGCTAATAGAGTCCCCCAATCATTAGATAATAACTGTCCCCTCCCAAACATACATTTCCAAATACCTTCTACTGGTAGCTGGAATCACTACAGGATAGACACTACCCATGTAAAACTATCTGACTGTTACAAAAGATAATCTGGATTCAAACACAGCAGTGTAGAAAAATGTCATACTATATGAAGTGAAAAATAAAATAGAAATGCACCCCTATATACATAGATACTGGAGCATATAGAGGTAAAAAAGCTGAAAAACAATTTTACTTGGTTAGTGAAATTATGAGTGATTTTTATTTACATTTCTAGGTACCTCATATATTCTTTTTTCCCTCTTTCTTTCTTTCTCCTTTTTTTTTTCTTTCTTTCTTTCTTTTTTTTTTTTTTTTTTAAATGATCAAGGCTTCCCTGTACAAAGGGGGTCAAAAACTATTTCTGTTCTAGAGAACAAAGAGGTGACCCACCCACAGCCTGTTCCTCATGCCAGTCCAACTCCTGTTTTGACTTGGAAAAGATGGCAAGCTCTACCTCAGGCATCTTGAGCATCTGCTTAAGCAGTGTGGGATCACTACCTTTTCACTGCTGAATCCTTGACCATGTCACAAGGACGCAGCTATCAGACCAGAGTTAGAACATGGTAGGTACTCAAGAAATGTTTATTAAACTGAGTCATCCTTTTTTTGTGTGCTGATTGGGTTAGAATTTTGCGGAGATGACCTTCCAGCTTTTAGTATCTCTTTCACCCGGTGGTTCTGTCATTCCCCAGGAACACTGGGCAATGTTGGGAGACATATTTGGCTGTCACAATCAGCAGATGCTACTGGCATCTAGTGGGCAAAGGCCAGGGATGCTGCTAAAAATCCCACAATGCACAGCACAGCTGCACGGGAAAGACTGGCCTAGCCAAAACGTTAATAGTACTGAGGTTGAGAAATCCTGCTCACCAAGCTTGTCCGATAGCTTGTTAATTATTTTCAGAATTCTTCCTGAAGTATTATCAACCATACATTTTTCACTATAGTACCTTTAGGAGACAGGGTATATATAACTGAGATTGAGGTGAAATTAGAGCCTTAAAAAGGACTTCATTTGGTCAATCGGGGCAGACTCCAGTTCCTTCCTTTTTTGTTAACCACAGGACTCTCAGGAAGACATTAAACACAACCTCTCAAAACAAAACAAAACAAAACAAAACAAAAAAACCTCCAAGAGGAAAATGGAGAAGGGACTGTGGTGTGGCCATGCCCCCTGGGGAAGGGGTGATTTCTTGCTTTCTGTCTCTCAGTCTCTCTGGCAGGAAGATATTAAACACCTTATTAGGAGCAACCAGACGCAAAGGTTCTGAACAACTCCTCTGATTAGTTTTCAGTCCAATCACTAGAAATTATCAGACAAACACCTTTCCCTTCCAGCATCATCTGCTCTATTTATCATTTCACCCTATTTAAAGAAGGTCGTATTTTACAGCTAGTAGATTTTTATGAAATTAAATTCTCATTTTCAAGAAAATGTATCTAAATAGGACATGACTTCCTTTTGCATTATATTTAATTGAAGGTATTTCTCAGGAAAAAAATAGAATAATAAAGACTATCGCCTGAAGGTGTATTACCAACCCAAGGATCAGGGATTGAAAGGAAAGTTTTCAAACAAAAATGAAAACACATTACTCTCAATCCTAACTGGTCTTTATGTTTTTCCTCCAGCATGAAGCATGTTGACATTAGCTATAATTTCTCAATAGCAAAATGATTTTTCTCAAATCGCAGATAACTAACATGATATTAAACATCAGAATTTTTATTAGTGAAAGGCATTTAAGGGACTCAACTTTTTCTTATTTTAGAGCATACGAGACAGTTTTATAAAAATCTTTAAACCCATAAATAGTTCTGTAAGTAATAGACTTTAAAAGATCTCATAAATTAAAAATTTAAAACCCATTTCTTTCATGCAACATAACCCCTTCAAACACCTTTAATTCAGTCTCCTACTTTATTAGGCAAATATAGAGCTTTTCAAACAGCTTAGAAATATAGGTTCTCCTTAGAGAGCAATTTTGCTTTTTAATCATGTGTGTCATATAGGTTTGAGTAAGTGGAACAGAAAAAAAAATCAACCAAAGAATAAAAGGATAAGGGATGGGACTACTCATGTCTTATAATTCAAATCACTTGTTTAATAACTAATCATTTTATTTCAAAACAAATGAAAGACATTTCAATTTTATGCGTCACAAAGACATTCATTTTGGATGAGTCAAGTGGCCTCCAAAAATGTCATAAGTGCTCTTTCTTGAAATTGGTAAGTTTAATCAAGATTCTAGCTTCTGTGTAATGGCTATGTCTCTGGACTCCCACGTAGTTGACCGCAGTTCGTGTCCTGGACCCGGTGGCTTAAAACTCATGCCGTGTGCATGTGCGTGCGTGCCCAAGATCCCAAGAGGATAATGGAGGAGAAGGGATTGCGGTGTGACTATCCTCCCTGAGGGGTGATTTCTCGCTTTCTGTCTCTATGTCTCTGTCTGTCTGGCGAGCGCACGCACCCTATAGCGAAAACCTCTCAAAAAAAAAAAAAAAAAAGATTCTAGCTTCTGCAATGGGCTGCTTTCGTGGGTCAATATGAGAAGAAAGTTTTCTCTGAATCGAAACATCACAGAACGATGTTTAATGGTCTCAGCGGGAAATCTTCTTAAGCAGGGAACTGAAAACAGCTTAGTTTGGGAAAATATAGGGTCCAATTTATCAGGACACAATGTCCTTCAGGTGAATAAAAGACAGCCACTTAGAGGTTGTTGGAAGCAAAATCAAGGAGATGAAGCAAACTCACAGATGCAGCAAGGGGTGAACACTGACTGCTCCAACACTGGCGACAGAACGGCTAGGTCTAACACAGCTATTCAGTCAACTAGCACCTTACCTGAATTTCCAAACTCATTTAAATACTCTCATTTTCTTAAACGAATTCTTTAACGATGTCATCTTTACTGAAACAGAATGAAAGCTGTAACTTCAACCCACTAGTTGAGAGAAAGCGCTCCTTTTTTTCCTACCAATATCCCAACACAGAACTACCTCCAATTCTCATGGAAACCATTTTCTGTGAAATGTTTCTATGCTATGATATTTTCTCCTTGGTAGTAAAGAATTAGGACAGAGGTTATGAAACCGAGGTGCCCGTAGGGTTCAGGAAGGTAACACAAAAAGATGCAACAGATTTTGTGAAAACTGGGATGAATGGGTGAGAACTAGTTTTTACCTAAAAAGGATGGTCAACACTCAACTTCAGCAACTATATCAACTATATCCCCTGGGACTGCAATTCCAGACTCTCACATTCTCAAGATAGAAATGTGAACTCTTACATGAAAAACTCCTCACTTTTAAGTATTAGTAACTGGTTCAATTTTTAAACAGAATCTTGCTGGCTAAACAAATTTTAGCTATGTGCCCAAGAGAAAGAAATTTTACACATCAGAGGAAGGCAACAGAGTTCAGACACTTAAGATTCTGGCAATACCATCTCTCAAAGTTCACAGAGATGACATGAAAATGCCCAGCTTACAGAGGTGCTTCTAAACCAACATGGAGCTGCTAGCAGAGAAAATTCCAAGTACCAAGAAGTGCAAAGCAGAGGTCATAAGTCACTGACAAAAATGCAGTGAAAAACGGAAAGAAACCAAGTTCTTCTCATCCAGCCAATAACATTTACGGACTTTGGGTGGTGCCAAGATATGTTAGGAAATACCAATGTCTTTGTACAGGAAGGTCAAACTTAATATTTAAACATAGCATATATCACTTGGAGGAATAAGGCAAACCACACTTTCTCGTTCTCCTTTACAGACGACTTTAATGTAAAGAGTCACAGCCAATGCAGAACTCCTCTTTTCCCACAACAAAGCATGTTTCACTATGTTTCAAGCCAATGTTTTTGAGATGTTTCTAGAGAATCCTGTTAAGAGATAGTCACAGCAACATGGGAAGAACAGGCAATGGGTCACTCATTTCCCTTCCTTATTTCCCATCAAGGGCCCTGACATCGTCAACTCATTTTGCTCCAACCATTTCTCTGAATCAGTGAAGTCTACTCTTCCTTCCAGAATGGAATGAGGAAGGACCAGTAAGACAATCTTAAAAGCCAAAACTGTCATCATTCTCCCGCCAAGAACCGTACCTGTTCAGGCTTCAAGCCTGGCGGGACCCAGGCGTACTCTTCTAAGGCGCAGCCCGAGTCGTCATCTGAGGTCGAGTTCCTCTGGAAGTCAAACATGAGTTTGCTGATGGTCTTCTCCATCTCCAGTGGCATCACTGTCACCATGTGCTCCTCCTGGGGACACTTGCAGTGTAGGCAGATCTTCCTGCAGGTAGTAAAGGGGGCAGATGAGAAGAAGGGAAAAAGAAACCATGTTTTCAAGAACCTGCCAGTCACCAGCCCTTGGATCCCAAAGCATAAACACATTCCTTGGCAACGGGCTTCTGGCAGAGGTATCTCAAGCAGTGTTCCAGAACATGTCTGTCTCTGTAGAAGGTGTGGCATGTGCATGTGAAAACAGCATGAAAAGTTAGAGGCCACCAGGTAAGCGTGCTACAGATAGTTACAAACAGACTCCAAATTTTTCTTCCAAACCAGTATCTTAAGAAAGATGGTAGAATATTTTGACTTTTCTAGGTAGACCATGCTTTCCTTGACTGCAATAGCAACTAAATATACATAATATATATGCAGACCTGAAACAAAACCCATAGATTTAACAAACACTGACAACATGCCATTTTTATAAAAGGTTCCTAAGCCTTGAAAAACAGATGAAGTGGTTTTAAAAAGAATTGTATTAGATGCCATAAGAAGGACGTTTTCACTTTCACTAAAGGATCCTTGAAGGTTTGAAATTCTAATTAGAAGCCCAAATTCTCTGCATGTAGGTTTTTTTTTTTTAATATACAAGAAAATCATACATGTGAGTTATTTCAAAAGATAGCAGTCAAAGTAAAAATCTCTCCCCAATCTGAACATTTCTCTTTTAAGGTTACCATCTGTTTCCTCATCCATAGCTACAGAAATGATGAAGCAATACAAATGTTGATGTCAGTAACACAAAAGCATGTTCACTTTCCACCAATGAAATACAAAAGAAAGAATGGGGGAGAAAAACGTTAAGAAAATAGATAACCTATGTGTGTGCTGATCTTTATTGTGAGCATGGGAAGCACATTATAAAGGCAATAAAAAGGCCAGAATTCAAATCCCTACATGGGCCTGATTTTTTTTTTCCTCTAAGTTTCTTTGTTTCTGTCTTCCATAAGAGAGAGAGACAAACAGACTCAGGAACAGGGACCCCAACAGGGACCCGAATATCATGGTCCATCCCAGCTTCAGCTAACCCAGATCATGGGCATAAGCATGCTGGGAGTATTTAGGGAGGTCTCCGGATGCCAATCAGGAACCTTCCTAGGTGGGTCAATCTCGTGGAGTATTAGTATTGGGTTACCACTGTACCACCGTCCATTCCTCCTGTATGTGCCTGAATTTTTACACAACAATTTTGTTAAGATATAACTCACATTTCATACAATTTACCATTTTAAAATGTACAAATCACTGGCTCTTAATATAGTCATCAAGTTGTGCAATCATCACCACTATCTAATTTTAGAACATTTTCATCACTCCAAAAAGAAAGACCGCTGAGCATTAGCAATGACTTCTCATATCTCCCTTCCTCTTGGCCCTGACAGCCACTAATCCATTTTCTGTCTCTATGGTTTTACCTATTCTAAACATTTCATACAAATGGAATCATAAAATATGTAGTTTTTTGAAATTGGCTTCTTTCACATAAAATGATGTTTCAAGGCTAATCTATGTTGTAGCATATATCAATCTGTCATTTCCTTTTATTGCTGAATAATATTCCATTGTATAGATAGATCACATTTTTTATTTATTAGTTGGTGAATATTCGAATTACTACTACCTTTGAGAATAATGCTGCTCTGAATATTTATGTGCATGTTTTCTGAGTGGATATGTTTTCAGTTCACTTGGGTTTATATCTAGGAATGAGACTGTTTGGTCCTATGGCAACTTTCTGCTTAACATTTTGAGAAACTGTTGAACTGTTTTCCAAAATACCTGCACCATGGTACTTTCACACCACCAATAAATGCTTTATTTTCTTCACATCCTTACCACACTTGTTGCTGTCTTTTGTATTGCAGCCATCCTTGTGCATATGATGTGGTATCTAATTGTGGTTTTGATTTGCATTTTCCTAATGGCTAATCATGCAGAGTATCTTTTTATGTGCTTATTTTAACTCTTTAGAAAAATGTCTACTCAAATCCTTAGTCCATTTTTCACTGGGTTAGTGTTTTTACTGTTGAGTTGTGTTTTTTATGTGTATGTATTTTTTTCTGGCTACACGTCCTTTATCAGATATGTGATTTATAACATTTTTCTCCCATTCCGTGGTTGTTCATTTTACTTTCTTCTTTTTTTAAAGAATTATTTTATGTAACTTTATTTATTTATTTATTTTAATTTGACAAAAGAGAGAGAGAAAGCGAGAAAACAAGCTGCCAGGTCCAGGACTTGAATTGTAGTTGCCCATGTGGGGATCTAGCACACTTAACCACCATGCCACCCACCGGCCCCTCATCTTACTTTCTTAATGATAACCACTGAGGTACATACATACTGACTAATGTTTTCTGTTGTTACTTGTACTTTTGGTATGTAACTCGCAGTCATAAAAATTTCTCATATTTTCATCCAACAGTTTTATGGTTTTAGCTCTTACATTTAGGTCTGTAATCCATTCTGAGTTAATTTTTATACATGGCATGGGAGAGGAGTCCAACTTCATTCTCATGAGACTACCCAGTTCAATATTCTTATGTGGCCATCCAGTTTCACCAGGACCATTTGTTAAAAACACTAGTCCTTCCCTACTGAGCTCTCTTTACATTGCTGTCTAAAGTCAACTTACCATAAATATGTATTTATTTCTGGACTCTCATTTCCACTTCGTTGATCCATATATATATATATATATATATATATATATATCCTACCCTTATGCCAGTATCACACTGCCTTCTTTACTGTAGTTGTTTTGTAGTAGCTTCTGAAATAATAAAGTATAAATCCTGCAAAAATAATTAAAAATAAATCCTGCAAATTTGTTCTGCTTTTAAAATATTGTTTTGATCATTCAAGGTTTCTTGCATTTGAATTCATAAAGTATAAATTTCAGGATTAGTCTCCCAATTTGTGCGAGAATGCTGCTGGGATTTTTAATAGAGAGTATTCTGAGTCTTTAGATCAATTTGGGGATTACTGCCATCCTAACAATACCAAGTTTTCTAATACATAAAACACAGAATATTTTTCCATGTATTTCAGTCTAACTTCTTTCAAAGATATTTTGTAGTTTTTCACACACAAGTCTTGACACTTCTTTTATTATGTTTATTCCTGAACTATTTTACTTTTTTTTGAAGCTATGGTAATCAGAATTGTTCTCACTTTCATCTTCAGAATGTTAGTGTAGACAAAAATTAGTTAGACAAAAATAATTTATATATTAATGTTGTATCATACAATCTTGCAAAGATTTTCTATGTATAAGACAATATTATATGTGAACAGAAATAGTTTTACTCCTTCCTTTACAATCTGTTGCTTTAATTCTTTATCTTGTCATATTACCCTGTTTAGAACCTCCAGCACAATGTAAATAGAAATGGTAAGAGTTGACATATGAATCTTCCACCTTATTGTAAGGGAAAACATCCATTCATTCCTCATTAAGCATTATGTTAGCTGTGAGATTTTTGCAGATGCCTTTTTTTTTCAGGTGGAGGAAGTTCCCTTCAATACTACTTTGCTGAGTGCTTTTAATCACAAAGGGTGTTGGATTTTGTCATTGCTTTTCCTGCATGTATTGAGATGACCGGTTGTTTATGGTCTTATTCTACTAGTATGTTGTGCCTGGATTTTGACACAAAAATGTACTCAAAGAAAGAAAATTTGTTTAGTCCAGTCGAGTTAGGCTTGTTGGATTCTCTCACTTCCTGTTTTTCATGAGATCAAAAATATACACAGATGCATATCTTGGATCTGGTTTGAATCTCCAAACTCAAAGGAGTTCTATCCAAACTTTGGCTGTTGCTTTTTAAAATAGAGTTCATTTTAACAGTAACTCTTTAATTAATCTGCTACTGTAAAGAGGTCAGGACTGTTGGGAAGCAATCAGGGTTGTTCTTCCCCCTCCCCGCCCCCCCACCCAGAACTTTTTAGGACAGTCATGACTTAAGGGAAAAAAAAAGTTCCAACAAATTTAGTAAGCTCTTTGGTGACTAATGCTTTATACTAGAAAGTCAGACTATTAAAACAGAATGTAGACAAATTTGATCAAATTCAAGCCACAGAATACCCACCACTGAAACTTAATTATTCAGCAATGCAGGCAAGAGTACAATATTTAGTGCTGGATGGTTGTTATCTAATGAACCGAAGCTCTATGAAAAGACAAATTTAAAAAAACAATCCAAGAAGAAAGAAAAATGTAAAGTAAAAAAATCAAATCCAGAATGAGTCTTAATTAGCAGAAGGATAAACAAAAAAGAGGAGGACTGGTCTTCTGGTCTAGTGGTTAAGAGAGTCAAATCCCACATGATTGGTAGCAATTCGAGCCACAATCCAACAGCTTGAAAAATATGCTGGGCTCATGTATGTGTTTGTCCAGATTCCAACAGGACAGAGAACTGGAGGAGAAGGGATTTAATGAGATTATATCACACTTGGGTTGGGGGTGTTTTCTCCCTTTCCTTCTGTTTCTCTCTGGTGAGTGCATATGTCCTCTGGCTATAAATAAATAATAAACATTTTTTTAAAAAAAAGAGAAGGAGAAGACCCCATGTAGTCATTCAACAAACAGTATCAAGCGACTGCTCTAGCTACTTGGGGTCTCTCTCTCTCTCTCTTATTTTTGTTCTTTCCGAATTTTTATATGCCTTTACTCATAATAGCTATAAACTGAAAACAATGTAATTTCCATCTAGCTTCTTGGATATCTAACCAAAGATCTCTGCCCGTAAGATAACTATAGTCTCAGAGAGGAGAAAAATTGTTCAGTCACACTGTACGAGGGTCTTCATAAAGTTTATGACAAATGCTTACTATGAAAAAAATTATGAATGGATCTAAAATTTTTCTTACCCTAAAATAATAATCTCTCTCTTTTTTTTTTGGAGAGGTTTTTGCTATAGGGCGCATATGCTCGCCAGAGAGACAGACAGAAACACAGAGACAGAAAGCGAGAAATCACCCCCCCCCAGGGGGGATGGCCATGCT